TAGAAATAAATGATTGAGATTCTTCACTCTGTATTTAATGAATCAGCTTTTAGATTTTTCTGTTTCTGGAGTCCCAGCCGTGTCTGTTATAGATTGTTAGATTTAAGCTTTTAGGGCCGCTGTGGGAGTTGAGGTGAAAAGAATAAAACAAGTTTTTTTTTGTTCACATCCTGAAGCTCCAACTCATTTTCTGATATTACATTCCATTAAATATCCTTTGTTCTACTATAATGCCTGCTAGGTTTTTCAGTTGGGCTTTGATTGGATCATTTAAAGTCATTAGATTGAAAGTAATCTCAGGTTATTTAAGATAGATTATTCTTTATTTTTCTTTATTTTCCTGCTCATTTATAAAGTCAGCAAACGATCCTGGTAGATGAGTTTTATTTCTGCTGTGGGTAGCGGGGTGGTTGTCCGCTGTCAGACCTGCCTGTAAAGGCCTTCAGCAGACGACAGAAGGACCCTCATGGCTTCTTATCTCCTAACCTCAGGGAGGAGAAGTTTAGTCTCTTTTCTCTGAGGTGACGTCTGTTCTGTGTTTCTGTTCTTCAGGTACATGTTGATCACTGACATGCCATCTTCAGTGAGCTTCGTGGAGCTGTGTGAGGAAGTGAAAACAATGTGCAGCGTTGCTAGGCAACAACCCATCACTCTGAAGTGGATCGACGATGAAGGTGAACGAGCTTCATGGTCAGATACCTTAAATCACTCTGCTTCCTGCTCGGGACCCATCCCTAAACTCTCTGGGGTCCTCGGTTAAAATCTGCTGCTCACTGAGGGCTGTTTGCTGGACTCTTCTTCTTCCCCATCCTCATCATCATCACATCCTAGTAACATTTCCTACACCTCAGACACATCAGACTTTGACATGAGGGCCACAGACCCCCAGATAGAGAAACAGCAGGGGCCCCTTTGTCCCCTGTGGGAGTGGGATGGGGGATGGGACGGGTTGCAAAAAAGCTGGAGGCTGATCCCACGATTACATCATAATAATAAAAATGATCAGTCAGAGAAATCATCCAGATTTCTGAGCTGTCAGAACTTTGTTTTTTGTTATCTGGATGTTTTCTATTAATCCCCCATGTTCCGTTAACTGGTCCGGGTTCCGTTCAACGGCCGAAACTCTCCTCCTCTTGCATGTTTCCTCTCTCCATAGCGTTCCCTGACAGTGTTGTTTCTAAGTCACCAATTTAGTGCTAATTGGTCCCAATGGGAACTTACAAGCACTAAGTTGCTAACTGGTTAGCAAGGTATGTCATTACCCGATCCGTACCGGAAGCACGATCCGTACCATCAGCTCATTTGCGCGTGCGCAAACAGAATAAC